GCATCCCGGAGTGGAATAAAAAAAAATTTTTTTTGTTTCATAGTCGGATATAGAGGTTAGTGGTCTACCGGTACTGCTTCACACCACTACTGTGGAAATTTTTCACCTACAGGCATTTTATGCCAGCTTACTTCTAATACCTATCGTACGAATTCTTACTTTTAAGCAAAAAATCGTGGTTGGGGTGGTATGTAAGAGGGATTCTGTAGAAGGAGGGGGGACGTGGGAAACAAAGTACTTAGCTTCGACAGAGAGGGGTAAGAAGGGGGGGGAGTTATTATGTAATTACTAGTTTATTTAATTAAACGAGGTTAAAATAGAGGTAGATTTATTAATATGAGAAGTCGTACAAAGGTTGTTCCATTTTTTTTTTTGGCGCGCCATGTGAAGGGGGAGCAGCAGGTGGCTAGCAGTCCACCGCCGGTTGTGCAGTCGAGGAGGGAGAGGAGCAAGAGCCCGGTGGGGGGTGTGCCGCCGCAGAGTCCGACGAGACGAGGGGGCAGTGTGGGTGCTGTCGTCGCGCCTGGGGGGTTGGAGGATGAGGAAGGGGAGGTGGGGGGTGGGATGCCGGAGGAGGAGGGGTTTGATTTGACGAAGTGAGTAATTTTTATTTTTTTTGTCTTGCCAATCTTGATGACGAGAAGCTAACAAAGAATAGGGGGTTCCAAAGCATTAGCAGTTTCCACGCCACGGTCGTCAAGCCTGGTTCCAATGGGGAGTCGCAGTCGCAGTCTCAGGGGACGAATGCCAATGGAGATCCTGAGACGCAGGAGAGTGTTTGAGCTTTTTTCGTACATTTTTTGTTTCTGTGTGGTGGTGATTGATGTCAACACAGACACGGGCAAACGATTCATTGGTATCGCCACTCTTGTTTGGTCAAAGCTGAGGACGCATCATCCTCAGGTAACATGGGCATTTTTTTTCTTTTTTTTTTCGTTTCAGATTGCCTGTTTTATTACCCTTTTTTTCCTATTCTTTCTGCTGAAGGGCTATATGGTGGGTTTAGGGAAAGGAAAGGGAGTGTGGGTGGTGCATGGGACACTGGTGTTGATTTGTTTTTAATTGACTGAGTATAATCATTACTCGTATGGGAATATGGGATTATTGATTGGGGAGGCGGGGGAGGTGGACTTTTTTTTTCTCTTGTTTTTTTTCACTTGTTACTGATATCTTTTTTCTTTTTCTTTTTCGGTTGCTGGATTTATCACTAGGAGTATATGGAGTTTGAGGGCCCTCGGTTTTTTCAAGTGGTGCAGAGAGGGTAAACACACACTGTGTTGTTGTTGTTGTTGTTGTTTCTCTAGGAAGAGAGAGTCAGGGGGTGTATACCTACTACTGGCCTGAGTTGGGGCAGGATGAGATGTGATTGGAGGGAAAGGGAGGGTGATCAAGGAGATATGGGGGGGGATGTTTGATGAGCGATGTGGGAGGAGGATGGCAGGGAGATAGTATTATCGATTGGCTCTTGTTTTGTCAAATGGTAGTGTTATTCTTTTGCTGTGTTTTTGGTCGAGGGAGGAAGGAAGGAAGGTTTGATTGTCAAGCTTTGCTGATAATGGTGGGGGTTTTATCAATTGCTTGTTGGGAGTTTGTGTTGTAAAGCGTTCAACAGCTGGGAATGAATAGTGTTAGGGGGGAGGGGTTAGCTAGCAATGGAACGTGGGATGCCGAATAGTTGGAGTTGTGCTTCCGATGTGGTGTGTGAATAGGTAATGATGGTATGGTTTGCGAATAACGATGATAAAGATGTCTTGTGAGAGAGGAGGCAATTTCTGGACCCTGGATTCCATACAAGTGATGAAGGGTGGCAAATAGGGGTGCATGGCGGCAAGGGGGGGTTCGGCTTCTGGAATGGGGAATGTCTCGGGTAGAATGGCTGGGGGTCGGGGTTGATAATATGGGGGAAAGGAAGTGGTCAGAGAAGGCTGAAGCTAGGGCCCTTATGACGACAGCGTGAGCTACCTTGGCTTGTGGTAGGAGCTACCCCTTTAGCTGGGTGCCTACCTGACTTGCACATCACCACCACCCATGCATGCGGCTCAACTCGAGCAGATCACCATTGCCAATACCAGACCTCCAACCAGGACACACCCTCCATTCCCCTGCCTATTAATCAGACTTAACGATATCCGCTATAATACCACCACAGAATGTGGCCCTCCTCTCCACCAGGCCCTCCCCCACAGGCACACCCGCACGCTATAGTCAACCCCCTTCGCGACGAGGAACAGCAAGCACTGCCCCCGCCGTCTTATTACTCTTCTGTTCTCCAGCCTGCCGGGGGTAACAACAACCAACAGGAGCAGCCACCACCAGTGGACAACAAAGAACTAGAAACACAACCCCCAAGGATAGGAGACCGAGCCCCGAGCCTAGGGCCAAGTATCACCTTCCCAACAGACAAACCCCTCCTGGTAGTCTTCCTTCGATACTGCGGATGTCCATGTAAGTCCATCTCTCCCCCCCCCCCACCCCCCAACCTCCATATTCGTGTCTAAGCTAACCCCTCACAGTCGCAGAACAAGCTTTCACCAACCTCACCACCTTTTCCACCACCCACCCCTCCATCACCTGCATAGCAATCACCCAATCCCCCCCCTCCGAATCCGACACCTGGATCATCTCCCTCGGCGGCCTCTGGTCCATCTCCACCGTCATCCCCGACCCGTCTTTGTCACTCTACCATTCCTGGGGATTACACCAAAACAGGTCATGGTACGACTGGTTTGTGGAGAACCTCAAAGTTCCCATCACCAAGCCGGTGAATGTCACCAATCTGGAGCATAAGCCTCATGGGAGGTACGAAGGAGATAATAAATGGCAGCAGGGGGGCGCGTTTGGGATTGACCAGGATGGGTTTGTGAGGTGGGCTTGGGTAGGGAGGAAGGTGGATGAGGTTGTGGATTTTGAAAGGGGCGGGGTGGTGGAGGCGCTTTTGGGGAGGGAGAAACAGAAGAAGAAGAAGGGGGGAGAGGGGGGGGACAATAAAGATGAGGGGGGTGGGAATGGACAGCTGATGTAGTATGAGGTTGTGCTTGATGATTGGGAGAGTGAGTGATCAAGGGGGGAGATGGCAATACAGAGATGAGGAGAAAGAGATGTGCAGTAGAGTTAATCATCAGTATTCATTCAATCACTGTGCTGTTGGTTGTGTATGTGTGTGTGTGTGTGTGTGTGTGTGTGTGTGTGTGTGTGGAAAATAAAGAGATAAAAAAGGAAACGCTGGGAACGCTGCCCTGAAAATCAAACGCTGTGTGACGGGCCAGGAGTCGAACCTGTTTTTTTTCGCTCAAACTTGGGAGTGTAATAACCGCTATACTACCGCGCCACGGAATAGTGATTAGAATTTGAAAACTATATACCCCCGTTGGTTGGGTTGGGTTCTGGTCGGTGGTTGTGGTGGAGACAATGATGAAAGTGGCGTTGTTTAGGGCGGAAGGTTGAAGATGTTACGTCTTGACGGCATGTGAAAGAGTAACTATACAGAACAGTGACCAGCATTGCAGATGGACAACATATCAAACGAGGTGTCAGGACATGACAGCCATTGTAAATGGGGAGATGAAATTGTATTGAAGCAGTCAAAACAACATGTAAATGAACAAGAACAAACAGCTAGGGAGCAGAACCCCAACAAGATATCATAAAAAGTCAAAAGTGAGAGACAGAGACAGAGAGAGAGAGAGATAGAACTATGATGCTTAACGATAGAGAAACACACATGTTTACTCCTTCCAATCCCATTCCTGTCAAAAAGAAAATCTCCGATTATTGTATCCCATCATCATAACAAGGCTTCACAGCTCCACCTCTTCTCACACACTCATACACACACGATTCTCTCAGTCCATGTCTCGTACATTCTAACCGGTATCGCTTGCATCTAATACTCCATCCCACCAAAGCTCTTATTCCTCACCAGCGTCGCCCTCTCCAAGCTCGCCCTGGGAAGCTGCTCATGGCTCCGCGTCCTACTGCGCGCTGTGCCCGGCCGCGAAGGGGCGTCGCCGTCTTCGACAGCGCTCATGATATCCGCGGGGACATCCGGATCATCCCTGATGCGGTGGATGAAGAAGGCCGAGATCAGCACCGTGATGCCACCCAATGCCAGCACAATCGCGATACTGTGGTCTCCCGGCTCGCCGCGGGGCTTTTGGAAAATTTGGAAGATCACACTGCTGAGCAAGGTGGCGATGATCTGAGGGGCAGCAATGGCCATGTTGTGGATCCCCAAGATGACACCGGCCTGGTCGGCGGCTTCGGCGTCTTCCCCTGATTCGAGCTCGCGGGCCTCGTCGGAGTTGTAGCCGTCCATTCCGCGGGTGGGTGAGAGCATCCTCTGCGCTCGTTGTTGGCGACGGTCTTCGTCGCGGCGGGAAATCTCGGCGCTGATGATAGCCCATGGTGCCCAGAGAGTAAGAGCCCAGGTGATACCGACGAGGCCAATGAGTACTGTGGCTGCTGTGACGGTCCGCACGAAAACAGTGCAAAGCATGCTGCAGGTGAAAAGAATCTGGGCAAGCATCCAGGCGCGGCGAAGCGTGAATCCAGGGATGACGAGGTAGTCCAACCAGGACTTTTCCTCGTCGTAATCCTTGAGCGAGCTGGGGCCGCCCTCGTCAGGGGAGACAACAGCACTGCCAGGTTGAGTTGTGTATGTTGGCGCAATGAAGAAGGGGAGGAACACATTCGTTGCCAGACTAGTGATCGCAAAGATGAGCAACGCAAAGGTTCCCTCCCGAGTGGCGTCTTCATAGAGCCTGTCGAGTTCCTCAGGGGTCATGTTCGGGTTGGCCTCGAGATATGGTTCGGCATAAATCTCGCCAATGTACGACGAAGTGTAGAAGAGCATAGGGAAGAAACCAATCCATGCGCAGAATTGGACTTCGCAGACTTTTCTGGTCTGGGGCGGTAGCCGTTGAATGGAGGTGAAGATCTTGTTGAAGAAGGCGAGGACGCCAGGCTTGTCCTTGATGGGTGGCCCCTCGAGTCGGGGATCGCGTTCGCGGATAAAAATGCAGGTAGCGACAACCGTCACTCCCAGCGCAATACTCGCGATGGCGCAAAGGTCCTTGAATTGGGTATCACCCAAAAACCAGAGCACACTGGGCAGATCGGTATAGCCAGCGAGGTAGCCTGCAATGTTTCCAATACCGACAAACCTGCTTGCCATGGCATTCGCAACCTCTGTAACAGGCGTTAGACTTGAACTAAATCAAGGGGCATAGAATAACTGACCTTGCTGATGAGAGGGTGCGCAGTCGACAATAAACGCTCGAATCGCGGCTTGCACTGCAATGGCTGGTCAGCACACAAGTCCTCCTATCCGGTCCTGTGCAATAACCTACCTGTATTGATTGCAAAGTCCAAAATATACACCCACAAAACTGCAATAACGATAATGGAGTTCTTCACAAATGCCGACTCTGGGTCTGCTCCGAATACGCCAAAGAAGCCCCCAACGATGTCTTTGGTCCAGGCAAGGAACATCAACGATATGATGGTGGCAGCAGCCCCTCCGAGCATGAATGGCTTGCGCTTGCCCCAGCTCAGACGACAATTGTCGCTCAGCATGCCAACATATGGTTGCACCAATGTCCCCGACAACGGCCCGGCAATCCAGACCAGTGCCATCAACGACTTGCTCAGACCGAGCGAGAGCAGGTAAGGAGAGCCATTGGACATCTCAACCGACCATGCGATCTGCAGGCCACCGATACTAATAGTCAAGAGGATGAGATACCAGACACTCTTAGTCGCCTGGTGCTCATCCTCGCCGTTATCGAGCGCTTGGGCGCGGATGAAGCCATCGTCTTCACCCGAGCCGGAGGAGGGAGAGAGCAGCGGCGACTGCTCGTTCAGACTGTCCGTGTCGAATACTGGCTGACGGTCATTTCCACCTGATGATGGGTTGCCTGTCCTTGATGATTTCGCCTGTTCTTTGCCCTTGGCCGATTGATTCGTGGGTATTGATGTCTGTTGGCGTTGGCTGTCGCCTGCGGGGTGGCCCCGATCTGGAATTGCTGCTAACGACGACGTCATGCGGAGCAAGAGCTTAGAAGCTGCCACAGCAACAACGGCGGTTCGCGCGCTTCCGTGTCGCTCGACCTGGCACGGAAAAAAACAATTGACGGCGTCTTCTATGCGAGTTTGTTATTTTCTCGATGTGTTGGATTCGAGCGAATAAGCTATCGGTGGTATCGTAAGTGGTGGTCGGGTTGGGCAAAAAGCAGGACGGAAGAGGGCGTGGGAGGTGCTTGTGAAAGAAGAGCTGAGGTGCCTGAGTTTCGGCCGTGCCGGGATCGTCCCTGAGAGCACAGGTCGCGGCGAATACAGGAGGCTGTGGCACTGGACGGAGCTGGGAGGGCACCGAGGGATGCTCGCAACTGATATAAACTTGTAGAGGAGTGAAAATATCACGCGGCCAAGTCAACGTCTGCCACGAGACCCGTCGTGGTTCGAGTGGTGCGATTGCGGAAGCAAGTCGAGAAAACCCCGGCTATCTAGAGGAGGCAGGGCTGGTCTGTGACAAAAGATACTGCAATGCAGAGCAACTTGAGCTTCGATTTTGGTTGGTCCACGAATGACAACCATCAGAGAGACGCCAGGCGGCACGGGTCTGGATCTCTTGAAGCTGCAGGGGCGCATCATGGAAGGCCCAGCGCCGAGCGACAGGCTTCTCCGGATTTTGCGGGCACTAATTATGTCAGGCAATTGGAACCACAGCGGGCCGTTATTCTTTGTTCCATGGATCGCAGCACTGTTGCTTCAACGTCCAATCTTTTGACTAGGTCTGAGATCTCTGACTCGGATCCCTTGGCAGAAACAACCACCAAACATTCATTCCAACTTGTTCCGAGTATTGGGGATTGTCTTTGAACTCCAGCAACAGATCAGAATCACATGTTTTGGAGCAGTGGCTGCCATGGTGCACAGTGTAAAATACGAAGCAATACGGGGGCTTCACATGGCCTCGATTTAATCCCAACCCAAGCAAGCACTAGTAGCCCAGGTGACAGCTTCATGAGCCCGTAGTTGATATTTTGCTGAACCGGCTGATGATGCGAAGTAGCACAGAGTTGTATTTTTGGCCATCTTGTATTTATTGTTGGATATGGACGCGGATATCGAGAGTGATGCTGGAGCTTGATATATGACCGAGAAGACTGACACAGCATCTGCTATGCAGTTCTTATCCTGACCTCCCCAGGACTTAGCAGAACAATAGGTGCTATGAGTGAGGTTCAAGATGTCTGAACAGCTCAACTTAGACACATGCTTCCCCTCCAAGTGCCAAGCCTATTGACCCACCGATTGGGAAGCTCCCCTGTTGGCGGTTGGTAGTGGCTTGCGCGGATTGGCCGCCTCATGGTCATCGGCGGGTCTCGGCAGCGATCCTTGTGGACACTTTCTTGAACCTGGCGACGTCTCAAACTTGGGATGTTGAGCTTACCAAATGCCAACCAAATCAGCCTGTCCAGACGTGCCATCGCCGTCCGTCTCTTACGTACCTTTTACCAATTCATGCTCCTTCGCTTCCCGTGAGCCTGAGAGTCCTGAGCCCTGCCGTGACCTCTGAGCTGAACTGAGCTTCCCCAACCCTCGTCCGCGCCGGGGCCAAGCCCGCTGTCGCTGTCCAACAGACGCCGCCATGCTGTCAGAAGTTGTCGCGAGCTCCCTCGTGGAACTTGCCAGTACGCGCATTCCCCCTTTCTCCCTCCCCAACCCCAAACTATCCCACGAACAGGCTCTAACAGAATGCTTCAGAACGAGAGGAAGAAGACCCCGCCGGTATGCCCGATCCCCTACATCCATCATCCGAACTCCCCCCTCCCGCCGAACGAACATCTCGAGACCCTCGACAGCATGCTAACTGCGCGATACAGGCTCCGACCCGCCCCACCAGGAGAAATACTCATCATGGGCCATATTTATTCTGCTGTCGCTACTCATTGTGTCGTTCTGCACGAGCTACACTCTACAACAGAGAAAGATCACAGCTATTCATGAAACTGTCGTATCCATCTTCGGCGGTACGAACGATTCTCCTCCATCATCCCCGACGAACCTCACCCTAACCAACATATTTCTAGGCATGACCATCGGTCTCATCCTCCGCGTATCTGGCTTCGATTCCGTCAGAGACTTGGTCAACTTTAACTACCAATACTTCTTCAACCTTCTCCTTCCCCCGATTATTCTCTCGTCCGGCTACGAACTCCACCAAGCCAACTTTTTCCGAAATATAGGAACAATCTTGAGTTTTGCTTTTGCGGGAACGCTCATCTCGGCCGTTGTGATTGGCGTCTTGCTCTTCTTTTACACTGCAATCTCTCCCGAGGGGCTGGATGTGTCGTGGACCGATGCCATCGCCGTCGGCGCAACGCTTTCTGCCACAGATCCGGTCACTATCTTGGCAATCTTCAACTCGTACAAGGTTGACCCGAAGCTGTACACCATCATCTTCGGCGAGTCTATTCTGAACGATGCAGTGGCCATTGTTATTTTCGAGGCTTCCCAGGCCAAGCATTCTTCCGGGTCAGGGGGTATTGGCATCTTCAGCATCCTGCATGGAATCTGGTACTTCTTGAAAGAGTTCTTTGGCAGTTTGGCGATTGGCTGCATTGTGGGCGTAATGACTGCTCTCGCCTTGAAGTACACCTATGTCAGACGGTATCCAGCCATCGAGAGTTGCTTGGTTGTGCTCATTGCTTATGCCAGCTACTTTTTCTCTCAAGCTATTGAGATGTCTGGTAGGTCTTCCCGTAAGCGCCCGTACTTGAGAATCGTGGATTAACTTGGTGCTCAGGAATTGTATCGCTTCTCTTCTGCGGCATCACGCTCAAGCACTACGCTTACTTCAACATGTCCCGCCGAACGCAGCTGACGACCAAGTACCTGTTCCAAGTTCTCGCTCACCTGTCTGAAAACTTCATCTTTATCTACCTAGGTCTGGCCCTCTTCACGGAGAAGAACCTCGTCTTTCAGCCCCTGTTGATCATTGTCACGGTTGTTTCCGTCTGTGCGGCAAGATGGCTCGCTGTCTTCCCGCTTTCTCGAGCGATCAACTGGTTCCGCCGATATAGAGCCTCCCGACGTGGTGGCGAAGCCGATGAGTTGCCCTACAGCTACCAAGCCATGCTCTTCTGGGCCGGTCTTCGTGGAGCCGTCGGCGTCGCTCTCTCAGCCCGCTTTACCGCGAAGGAAACCCAAGCTCTGCAAGCGACCGTCCTTGTTGTAGTGGTGCTGACCGTCATCATCTTTGGCGGCACTACAGCCCGCATGCTCGAGATATTAGGAATCCGCACTGGGGTAACAGAGGATGCGGATTCCGATGACGAGTTTGATATCGAGGCTATTGGAGGCGGACTTTACAAACGACCGGACAATAGTGGGATAGGATACACTCCCAGAAGTCGGAGCCGCGGGTCGGCCGTTGCATTGGATAACGTTGGCGGTAATAACAGCAACGGTGCGAGCTGGACATCAGGAAACAGGAGGAAACCCAGCCATGGGAGAAAGGGACACAACTCCAAGGACAGCAACGACTTTGAGAGGTCAGAGTTGTTGGGTGTCAACAATGGCGGGAACAGTAACACTGACTCTGAGTTTGGGAGCGACATTGACATCTCAGACTTGCCACCACCGGCGCCGAGGAGGAGGTCGAGCCCTATGCCAGGAGGGGATATCCCACCAGCTTCGACTGCGGCCACAACCCTTGGCTCTGGCCAGAACAGTGAGAGTGGGAATCATTCCACGCCACTAACAGCGTCTGCTGCGATTAGACAACTCTTCAGAACAGACGACCCATCTGCCCTGTTTAGACAGTTGGACGAAGACTACATCAAGCCAACGCTGTTGCTAGATGGGAGTCATGGTAGAGGAGGCAGTGGTGGTGGAGGCTCGCATTAGATGTTGTTTTCCTTTCTGGTCAGGTCAAGCCCTGAATTTTGGCTCGGTGCATATAGGAGGGATATCTTTTGGCAAAAGGATGCCAGGCGAGGAGGCATACACCGGCGGCGTTTGTTCTTTTTTCTTTCTGCTGTTACTATGATTAGATGTCTTTGTTCTGTTTAGCTGGGAAACGCTGGCGTGTTTGGCTGGCTGGCTGTTGACTTTCTCAGTGCGAACTTGAAGGAATAAAATGTTTGGATCATTGTTAGTCCCATCTCAGTACCTGCCTGCTCTATCGCAATAATGTCTTTTGGGATGGAGCAATTTTCCATGCAAAGCCGATCCATTCGGACATTGCTAGATTTTATCTATCATAAACAAAAGAGTAGGGTATCCAAACAATCTAGCTGTAGCTTACTGACCAATGCTAAACAACAAAAATGCAGTGTCCGTAATCCGTGGTATATCTCAAAAAGATATGCCAAAACAAAATCAAGCAACCAAACCAAAACGCCATGCAGTAAGGACTCCCCCTTCATTATCTTCCCCATTCTCTCCCCGTTACATCTTCACCCCTTTTTCCTCCTCCCCGGCCGTCTCTTCCCCTCTCACCGTCTCATCCTCACTCAACACACCCCCTCCCATCTTCCCCTCCTCGCCGCTGCTCTCCTTCCTCTCATGACTCATCTTCATCCGTCCCAAAATCTCCTCGGCCTCCCTCGCGTACTTGCACCTCTTCCTGATCCTCGCCCCATACTTCCAAAACAACAAGGGGAAAGGCACGCACGCCAAAGCGAGAAACGCCGGGACGGTACTCGCCCAGTGGATCCCCAGGTCCTGGTACATGTACGTCGTAAACAGCGGAAACGCCGCACCAAACAAACTTCTCAACACCGAGTTCGCGGCCAGGACCGAGGCGGCAAAGACGGTGTAGCTGTCGATCATGTACGTCAACAAACTCAAGAACACGGCCACCAGCCCCGCGGCGAAAAAAGCGGATGCAGTGATGGAGACCATCCAGTGGATTTCAGGGCCGTTTGTCCACGCGAACCAGAACAATCCGACAGGGAGGAAGATAGACCCGACGATCGCGGGAGGGAGTCGAGACTCGGGGGTTGCGAGGCCGGAGGAGAGGAGGGGCATGAAACGGGTTTTGTTGTCGATCATGGCGTATGTGACGGCAAAAACCATACCGACGGCCACGCCGACAAAGGCTAGGCCGCCGATGCCGGGGGACCAGCCGCGGTTGAGCTGGTAGACTATGGGGAAGGCGGCGAAGAGGAGGTAGAGGGTTCCGTAGACGATGGCGAGGTAGATTGATGTGAAGAGGACGATTGGTTCTTTGAAGAGCAAGACCCAGGGGCGGGTGAGGGTTGTTTTTATTTTTTGGGACTTGGTCGAGGGGTCGAGGAGGTCCATTTTGGAGATGTAGATTTTCCCTGTGTGGGAGGTGAGGGCTGCCGCGCGTTTTTGGAGGAGGACGGGGGCGTAAGTTTCGGGTACGTAGAGGAGGCAGAGGAGCCAGAGGGTGCCGGTGAAGATTGCTGTTAGGCCTTGGATCCAGCGCCACCCTAAAGATTCGCCGACGAAGCCGCCTACGATGGGGCCGATGGAGGGCCCGAGGAAGGGAGCCATTGCGAAGACGCCGGCTGCGGCTCCTCTTTCTTTTTGGGAGTTAGTATAGGGGAAAGATGGATGGAGAGGGAGGGGAAAAAGGGGGGGGGGGGCTTACCGTTGACGTCAAACATGTCTGCTACTACGCCGCCCGAGTTGGTGAGTGGTGATGAGCCAAAGGCTCCGGCGAAGAAGCGGAGGATGACGAGGGTTTCGATTGTGTCTGCCCCGGCGGCTCCGGCGCAGAATACCATGAGGGCCATGTAGGTCAGGGCGAAAATCGGCTGGCGTCCGTAGAATTCACTCAGGGCGCCCAAAGTAACGGACCGATGGCGAAGCCAAAGACGAAGAGAGAGATGCCCAGGGTGGCCATTGTTGGCGTGACTTGGAAGTATCTGATGATTTCAAAAACGCCGCCTGAATAGGCGGTGGAAGCAAAGGCCACTGCCAGGGTTGCGACGGCCTGCAGTAACGTGATGATCCATTTCTTGTAGTTGGGGTAGGTCATGGGGTTGAAGGGGTCGGATTTCCCTGGGAGGAAGTCGACGATGTAGGGAGAGGATTCTGTGCCATCTCCCGGGTAGGGGTGGGACAATATGGCGGGCGTGAGGTGAGAAGGGGACAGTACGAGACGCCAGTGAGGGACATGATTGCTGTTGCTGGTGGTGTTGTAATCAGTCTGGGACTCCATATCTGGCTTTGGTGTTGGGGAGGGTGGTGTAGTCGGCAAAGCCGTCACCGACGACGAAGAGGATGCCATGTTGAAGTTTGTGACCAGTCTGCTATGGTAACGAGTAACGATATCGGAATCTTATATCATGATATGGTGATACAAAAGAAACCACGATAAGATATTGTAACCGCGAGAACAGAAACCCAATGCCATCCGGACACCCAAATGGGGGAACCACTCGCCGTTTTATATGGCCAAGCCCGCCCTCTCCAGCAAAGCTTCCTCAACTCCGTTCCCCGATCCTGATCAAACGAAACCAACAATAGCAAGATTAACAAACCACTACCCGCCCACGCCGCCCATCATGGACTTTGGATTTCTGAATCCCGTTCCTGGTCCCACAACGGACGAACTGCCAAGAGCATGAGGCTCCTCCATCTCTGACAACACTGGACCCCTGACGTGATCTCCTGTCAGAATGAGCGTGCTCCGTCAGATCTGTAAACGGCCATTATGGATCACGAGATTGGCGACTGCGGCAAGTGGACTGGTTGTAACCACCGCTGGACGGTTCCAAAAAGTCGGGACTCGGACAGGAAGAAGCACCGTGAGAAACAACAGGAGAATGAGTGATGACAAAACGGCATTGAAGGCACTCCACTTGAAGGACACGCCCAGAACGATAGCCTCGCAACTTCTCGAGGATTCTTATTTGTGGGCTCTTGGTCTTGCTAGGCCGCGTCGTTGTCCTTGATTCAATTTCGCAGCTGGTTTTCCAACGGCCGAGGCATGCGGAGTATTTCTCGCAGGCTTACAAACCAGGCTTTCCAGAAGAACGACAAGCCCAATTTGCCCCTGAGAGAGAGACGAAAAAAATCGGCGAACGAGACCACAGAAAAGAGAGACTGTTGTCGGGATCGTGGAGCCGCAAGATCAAAGCAGCGGTGGGTGCCAATGCCGACGCACCGAGGTTAGCGCTCCTTGAAACTTTTTGAATTGTAGATCATCGGCGGGATTCACATGCTCCTAACCTCCAACTCCGGTCGTGCTGACATCATGCACAGACTTACTCTGAATTTCCAGTCATCTTTCTTTTGACATCTTGGCATTGGAACCAAACATTGTTGAAGCCCAATATCGGACTGTTGTCGTCCAAGCTCGAAAATGCAATAGCAAAGCCATGTTTCGGCACCGGAAAGCTCGGTTCCAAAGCCACGGGATATCAGCCCATCCCACGCAATGCATGAACTGACCATCGTATAAACCATCATGGGGTGATGCTGGATGTATTCGTTGGCAGATCCGCCCCGGCTCAGCCTTGTAGATGGGTATCTTTCCGATCTTTGAGCAGGATCTAATCGTCAAACCCACTCCAATCATCCTCACTCTCATCCTCGCTCTCTTCATCTGCCCCCTTCTTCAAAGTCGGCATCCCATCCGGCCCTCTCACGATCCTCCCGTCCCCATCTCTCACAAACGGCCCCTCTCCCTCACTCCCACTCCCAAACCTAACATCCCCTTCCGTATCATCCACCTCAACCGCCTTCCTCCCGGTAGCCTTCAACGTCGGAATCCCATTCTCATCCCTCACAACCCTCCCCTGTTGATCCCTCACATACGGCCCCTCCTCATCTTCTTCCACTTGTTTCTTCTCCCCATCCACCGTCCCGTCCCTCACAAACATCACCACAAAAAACCCCATCGTCCCCCGTCCATCATCCCTAAAAGCCCTGACACACCCCTCGGCGACCTCCTTATCCCCCTCACAACCCTCCACCTCCCCCCTAACATCCCACTCCCACATCCCCCTAACCTGCTCCTCCCGCCTCAAAACCCTCCACCCCCTCCTCCTCGCCACCTCGGACCCCAACGCCCTGATCGTAACCCCCTCATTCTCCCCCTTATGAACCGAACACGTAGAATATGTCACCTTCCTCGCATTAGGAAACTCAAACGCATGCAAAACAATCTGCAGCTGAAACGCCGCCAAAGCCTCAATCCTTTGCTGTAGGTCCTTTTCAGAGGAAACCACCGTTTCCTGTCCATCATCATCCACCATCATCGCCGGTGCCGGTTTCATCTCCTCTTCCCCCTCGGCCCGTTTCCTTTTCTTGTTTCCACTCTTCCCATTACCCGGTTTGTTCTTGCTGGCTAACGCCTCAGGGAGGCAAAGCTCAGGAACATCATCACGGCCGACAATCCCACTCCCCGAACAACTCGGATCGAGCAGCAGCGCCCCGACATGGGCGTATTCCTCCGCCTGGGGATCAGCTCGGAGGAAGTCCTCTGCTGGGTGAACCACCGTCTTTGCGTCACTTCCCGCGATTTTGATCATTTTCTGCAGGGTCTTGGCTCTGTTTCTGTCTTTTTCAAATGCATGGATGGTTTGTCCTCGGGCGAAACCCCGTTCGGAGAGTATCCCGGCGAGGTGGGTGGTTTTGTTTCCTGGGGCGGAGCAAGCGTCAATGATATCCCCATCTTCCGGTCTTGGGTCAAGTAGATAGGCAGGGAAGCAAGAGGCTTTGTCCTGGAGGATGATCTCGCCCTTTTTGTAGGCTTCCGTCTTGGTGAAGTCGAGGACGGAGGGGGGGACGGCGATGAGGTTGGGGATGTGACCGTCAAGACACAAGACTTTTTTCTTGCGGGGGGCGGTCATGACTTGGGTTATCGAGGGGACGACTTCAAACCCTTTGAAGGTAGTCTCCAACTGTGCGTCAAGGGTTGATTTAATAGCATTGACGCGGATCCATCGGGGATGCTGAACTGGGCCGGCATATTCCGCTTCTATCAAGTCGCGAAAGGTTTCGATGGTGGGACATTTCCTACGGATGCGGGCTTTGGTGAATTCCGAGGTGAGGCGGGCTTTGTGGCGGTCGATGGATTGGCGGAGGCCGTGGGAGGCTGGGAGGGCGATACCACCTTTTGCGAGGAGGTGGTCGTGGACTAGGAGGATGGAGAGGATGGGGGTGAGCTGAGAATGATTATTAGTAGTTGATACTGCAATGGGTGAATGAAGGAAAACACACCTTGCGCTCGTGCTTGAGTAATTCGGCATTCTCAACCACTTCTTTGAGCACAGAACTCCATTTGCATGTCTCTAGGGCCAGGGCGTAGACCTGCGCTGGGGGGGACTTGAGGTCCTTGTTGCTAAAGACTCGTGATTTCAAGCTGCCGCCGTGTGTCGATGGCCCTGTGAGCAGCGCTGCTGCTTCGTGGTAGAGAGACATTCTCAGTTACAACAGATGTCCGAGGCGTATTATTGATCCATTCAATTGAAATTTTTGAGTCGGGCCAAATGAGTTTGGGTTACTTGAGCTGAGTGATGAAGGTGAACTGCTGAAATGAGTTGTGAGTTGTGAGTTCTGGTTGGTTGCCTTGACATATTGCAAAATTTTGGAGGCCCAGGGTTAGGGATCATGGCCGTTGATGTCGCTGAGAACTCAACCAAGAAGTCACGCGTTCACCTGCACAGATCATCAGTCACCAAAGTCATGGAAGAGCATATGTTTGCGTAAAAAACACGCTTTCTCTAGCCTCTGGAGTATCTCATATTCCCTTCTATATATATGTCCCATCCCTCCCCGTCTTAAAAATCACCAAAAAAACCCAATGTTCCAAAAATGTTGTTCAGAAGAATCGAAGAATAAGTGATACATACACGAAATGTAAGAAGTGAAGTACAGCAGCAGCCACCAACGACAAAAACATATGGCGCTCTTTTGGGGGGGATCTCTTTCGTCATAAATCATCGTTTGATAGATAGGGAAAAGGAAAAAACACCGGAACATCCAAACACCCCTTCCCATATGTCCAGCCCTCCCCTTTTCCTACCGCTGAAAATTGTCCGCCCAAAACCAAAATTGGTATCCATCCCTAAATGTAAAGAGAAGGGCTTGACGCCCGCCCCGAAAGAAGTAAAAAGGTATCAAGGAAGAAGAAAAACCCCGTGTGACCAAGTCATCGTCTACCTCCGGTGGAGATGACGAGAGGGAATGCGGGCGTGGTGCGCAAGGTGGTTGTGGTTGCGCACATGGCGCTTCTCAGCCTTGGCAGGGGCAGCGCCGCCCTTGGTGAAGACGGTCAAGGCCCAGTCACCACCGCACTTCTGGCTGGCATCACCCTTGCAGGTCATGTTGCACTTGGAGTCGTCAAGCTTCTCGACAGTGTTGAGGCTGTTGCCGCAGTAGCACTCGCCGCCGTACTCGGTGCCGGCAACAGAGAAGCCCTTGGAAGAGCAGTACTCGACGCAGGCGGTGTTGCTCACCTGGCCAATGTTGGGGAGAATCTTGCCAGAGATGACACGGTCAGACTGGTCCTTGTAGCAGCCGGCAGCCTTGAAGCCCGAGATCTCAGCACCAGACTTGGCAGACTGGGTGGGGCCGGCAGGGGCCTCGTAGACGGTCCTGGTCTGCCAGACGGTGACGGTGTCGTAGACAATCCTGACCTTGGGAGAAGCCGCAGGAGGAAGGACAGCCTCGCTGGTAGGCTCGGGCTTCTCAACGACAGGGGGTTCCTCAACCTTGGTGGGGGCGGGAGCGGGAACGGTGACAAGGGTGGTGGAAGGTGGGGGCGGCGCAGCAACAGAGCTCGACGACGGGGCCGGAGCGGGGGCAGCAGAAGTTGATGGCTCTACCTTGATAGCAGGGGCGCTGCTGGACTTGGGAGTCTCCAGCTCGGGCTTCTCGACGACAGGCTCGGGCTCGGGAACAGCAGGAGCGGGAGCGGGCGAGACATTGCCGCCGCCATATTTCCAACCAGCGATGGGGTTGTTGCCGGGAAGCTTGTCAAGGGTGCCGGCAATCTTCTCCTGGATGGGGCACTCAATGTTGCAGCTCTCGCTGTCAGGGTTGACACCATGCTTGAGGCCGGGGCAGTTGTGAAGACCGGCATGGCCAGCGTCGCAGGTGTCGATGATGTGCTGAAGCTCCTCCTCGTCCCAGCCGGAGATGAAATCACCGTGAGCCGAGAAACCAGTGGCATCACCGTTGGAGAAGACGAAAGGGCTCTCCTTGCCAAGCAAGTGCTGGTAGCGAGGCAAGAACTTGGGGGTGTTCCAGTAGGTCTCAAAGAACATGTGAGGGACGTGGATCCAGCCCTTGGGACAGTTGAGCTTGCCGCCGACAGGGGTAGGGAAAGCCATGTTGTTCTTGTAGTTGGTGAGGCCGGCGGCGGGGTTGTAGCAAGAGGGGAAGTGGACATCCACGCGCATGGGAGAGGCATAGGCGTCGCAGTTCTGGAAGGGGAAGCCATAACCAGCACCCTTGTTGATCGGGTCACCAAGACCAGCCCTGGAGCCGTCCGAGTTGTCAGGCCAGCTAGGGGGGTTGTAGTTGGGGCGAGGGCAAGTGATCTGAGCGGCCTGGATGGGCTTGGAGGGATCCAGCTGAAGGGCGCCATCAGAGACATGGCTGGGCTTTGACCTCAGAGTGGGGTTTCCGCTGACAATCTGGAGACCGAGAGGGAAAGCCTTGATATCGTCGTCGGTGGCGTCGAAGAAGTAATAGTTGACCATGTAAAAGAACTCGACGGGCTCCAAGAGTCCGGTCTCGGGGTCCTTGAAGTAGAGTGAAGGAACCCAGTATGAGCTCATGTCAGCCTTTGGCTTGGCTGTGGTGCACTTGGACTGGCGCAGAGACTCTCCGGTAACGTTGAAGCCAAAGTTGCTGGCACCCATGACGGCGTGGACGTGGGCAGAAGGGCCTCCTGGTGAGACGATGGGATCGGCTCTGCATGTCGTCAATGGTCCCCGACCCTTGTGCTGAAGAGTCGCAAAGGTACGTCTATCCTTGGCGGCAGCCACTGTGACGGCCATGGTGGCCAAGATGGTGGTGAAATGCATGGTGAAGAAGTTGTTGTTGTTGTTGTTGTTGTTGTTTGGTATCGCTTGGAAATGTCTAAAGTCTATCCTTTGGTTGTTGGGTATCTCAAAAGTCGCTCCTCAACGGCTCGAGAAAAGTGTGGGAAGAAGTTGTCGAAGGGTTGATAAGACAAGTCTCTGGGACTGCTTGATAAAAGTTTCGAGTTGCTCAATACCGGTTGGCTGGAATGAATGGGGGGTTGTGATTGTGGAACAGTCGCTAACTATTCACGTTGGCCGTTTCTATTGTTGGTATTGCTTGACAGGTAGAAGCTGGATATCAACGGCTAGCGTGGTGGAAAGGACAGTGATGTAAGTGAGTATGTATTGCGCTGAGCAGGCTCCGCAGCTGGTGATGGTTGGAAAAAAGGGAGTGTAAAGTGATGTGCAACAGCACAACTTGGATTCGAAGGAGAGAGATGAGGCACGAGTGCCAGGAAAAAAGAGAATGACAGGACAACAAAAACCCACAGGAGGTTGAGGAGGAGAAGGGTGAGGGTGAGGGAAAGAAAAGAGGGAGACGGGACGAACTCCCGGCATGGGTGTGACCCAGTTTATACGCAACACGAGCCGACGACGTTGTGCTGTGTGTCCACACTTGCCCACCCCACCCCACCCTCAGCCCGGCACCGTGGGTCCAGAAGCACCAGAAGCTGAGAAGCGAGAGAAGTCCCGTCTCCTTTCACTCCTCTGGCTAGCCCGATTGAGACATATTCGGACGCCCATTCCAAGGAGAGAGAGCGGTCGATGAGCAATTGACTGCCAGGATTTTGCCAGGGCAAACATCAGACATCGGAAGGTCCGGTGGAGGAGCTGAAGGCAGTGGATTCCTCACCTCACCATCTGGGCTGGGCAGAGGTTTGTGGATGTCTAACTGTCTAACAGCTGGCGTGCACTGGCGTTTGTCTACCCTATCTGGGCTGGCCCCTTCATCAAACACGCCGTCTGATCCAGTGGTTCCTGGCTCTCGAGATGTCAAGAGACTTCAGATGAGAGGGGGTCGGCGAACCGCCATGGTGGACGAGAGCACGAGGGAGAGGAAAAAAACTGTGCGCTCAGGGGTAACGCTCGCTCAGGCCACTCTGTACCTGCATCTTGCTCATCGCCACTGCGGATCCCATTGGCCGGATGTTCTGCAAGCTGCAGGTCGTTAGGTGTGTGCCTGAGTTGGCACAGGGCGGGACGGCAGAGGATAAAAAAGACAAAGAAGTTATGTTGTTACGCGGCGCGAATGGCGTCCAATAGGATCGATCGACTGGCAAACTCGAAAAACGGGAAACTTCCAAATATGGTGCCCTCCTCCTTCCAGACCCTCCAAGTATTCAAGTATCACCGTCAGAAACGGAGTGGAAGGCGGACGCCGACAGACGGGTAGCCAACATGTGGGAATTGGGCACAAAAATGCGGTCCCTGGGTTTTTCATCTCGTCTGTGTCGCGGGATACCAACGGTTCCCTGGACCGGCCCGACACCAAACTCTCGACGACCTGACGTTGCGGTTGGGAACTTTGGTTCCCCGCACACCTGGGTTTTGGGGCTTCTTTTTATTTTTATTTTTTACGACGGGTACACAAACGGCGCCTGAAAATAAATCGCCCATTATAGCGTCATATCTACCAGTCTTTGAGAAACCAGCTACACTGAATAAATAAACCATCCCTTTCTTGTTTCTTGTTCTTCCAGAATAGCTGCTGACAGTCGCAGTCCAAGGCACAGAATGTCCGATATCATCATCACCATCACTTACGAATCCTCTCTCCTCTCCCTGCCCCGCACTTTTCCATCTTATCAATGCTCCGTGCCAACAGCAAGGGGGTTGACCCTCACTTGGAACAACCGTCCAATCACAGCCTCACAAAACACACCAAGCCAGGGGATTTGGGGGGCCCCAGCGTGTTCTCGTGCGTTTGAAACACAACCAACTCCCGAACGGAGCCTACCCAGCAAGCCACTCCCTGTCGTCGCTTCCGCCGTCAAAAGAAGAAGCATCTCAGAGAAGTCCAGAGAAGACGGGTCAGATCTGACTGCTCTCCCGAGACAGTTTCTTCCGAGATCTGATTTTCGACGATGCTAGCGTAGCTCTGAAATGAGGAACCCACCGTGTCTTCAGAAAGATTGACGACATCACTTCTGCTACGGTATCATCATTCACCGCAGCTTTTGTTATCACCATTCTCGCAGTGGTGTCTGATCGCAGCAGTCTTGCATCAGCTTTTAGGCCCTGCATTTACATATCCAGCCTATGCCAAAACGGTGCAATCTTTCCCTATGGTCTCTCCCTAGCACACCACGCGCGCGGTTCAACTTTCCTGGCCTAGATAGCCGCCAAGTCTAGTATCTTCCGTTTTGTCGGCGGCGAGTGATGGAAACACTCTGTAAAGTCGCCGATATTCACCATGTTCTGTGGCGGCGGGTGTTTGCGCGCGCAGTCTTGTGGACTCTTCACATTCCTCCTCCCTCTGGCTGAACAAGGCCATTTACGCCCCCCCGTTTCAAGTGTCAATACTCTTGGGTCCGTTGACGAGCTGCCGACGGCTGACGACTGAGACTTGGCCCCCCCGACTCACGGATGCTATCCGGACGCTCATCTTGACCTGAAAATCACTACGGGAGGCACCGCTTCAACCTGGCTGGATTACGGGCCTGAATCACCGCAGTGCGACCCGGTCAGCTCTGGGGATTGGGCGTCTCCCCGAGTCTTTTGACCGCCACCGACCTTGACGGAGAATTTTGAGAAACCTACAGGACCCGGGACCGAGAAAATACTAGGCATGAGCTGCTGCTGAACCTCCTCCCCCCTTTTCTTCGGCGCCGTTGGTAGGGGCGCCGAGGGCGTCATGGCTCTGTGCCACCCACGAAATCCCTCCGGCGGCGCAGGCAGAAAACCTACAAACAGTTTCTTGCTTGGCGAAACACAAGTCCCAAAGTCTATCACGACTCTCTATGTCAGCAAGCAGAAAGCTGGGAAATCCTAAATCCGACTGCATCTGCCCAGAAAAAGGGATCACCAACAGACAAACGGTCCTCCGGAATCACTGACCGTCTTGTCTATCCTTGATACAAATCCAAGCAAGGCGCCACCTCCCTTTATTTCACCATGAAAGAAGGCAAACCACTCCCTTCCGTGGCGTCAAGGGACATAGTGAACACCTTTGCTGCGCACAATATGCGACAGAAGAAAAAGAAAAAAGACACAGCAGTCTGCGGTGACCAGTCGAAGTGAATGGCCTGATGGCAGACAACACACCAGACATGATTTCTTAGATGACGTGGCACGGCCTACTCTGTGGCCTGTGGTCTGAGGCCTGACGGGCAGCCACCGGGGGCCACCTGCCTTGTCCTCACTGTAGAGATGTAAAGTGTTTTTGTGTGTGTGTGTGTGTGTGTGTGTGTGTGTGTGTGTGTGTGTTGGGTTTGCCATACAAACCTCTCATCACATACCTCCCAGATACAGACACAAGGCACCGCATTATGGTCGTCATTTTCTTTCTGGCCTTTTGGCTACACTTGCACTGAACAACAACTAACTACCAATCACCACAGGCAAGGCTGCCAACCCTGAGAGAAGATCATTTTTTCCAAGGAGCGAAAACAAGAAATAGGAAGGAGGTTGAGAGATTCCCAATGTAATCTGCACGATTCTACTAGTGTTCCTGCAAGTTGCCGTGCCCAAAGAAAACCTGCCCGCCAGCCTGGGGATGCACGACACATAACACCACACACCACCACATGGAGATACTAAAGCAAGGTACGAGCAGCAGCATACACGTAAGCTAAGGTGAAGTGGGTAGCCAACTTTGATGCAGATACCCGGTAGTCGCTGCGGGTTATTGACCACTCATGGCTCCAAGACGAGATGGAGTGGGATGTGACGGCCCGATCTCGCACTTTTTTGCTGCCGTCGTTTTCCTCGGATTTTGGAGATGGGTTTGATGGGTGAGATAGGATAGGATTCTAGATGTAGGTGCACAAGTGTAGTATCTTAGTCAGGTCGGGGTAGGGTTGCGGGTCGGGTTAGGTGAGACCGATGCTCACTTCTCTTCAGCTCTTTTGTTCAACCATCCCAGAATGGCCACGGACGAGATGCAGAGTACTCCATGTAGTATCTACCGACCTTAGTTTGCTGTCAACTGGCAGTTGTGGTCTGTCCTGTCACTGGTGCTGCAACGAGACCAATATCCCACCCTGAAAAGCCCTCCAGCTAACCATATCCCACGTGCCCACCACATACTAACAACTAGAATCTAGACAACCTGCAAATCATCACTAGCGCCGGCACTTCGCTCGCTTGAAATAAACCTTGCCACAAGCCATGCTCTTTTCTCACTCAGCTACCGAACCCCTCAGGCCTACCCCCACACTATCAAATCCCCGACGGGGTTTCTAGACCATGTTTTCCTCACCCCAGCTACCAGGAATGGCCGCCATAGGAACTTAGGGGTAGTGTTTCTACATTCAATATTACGGGACAACTACCGAGAGATTACCAGACTACAGACATCCATCAAAGATAGGTAGGTATCCAACATCATCCGATGGATGAAGATCCTCACCCACCTCGTGCTTTGCCCCGTTTGCGGAAGACAGCCGCCTCATGTAGGTAAGCACAACTGTGTTTTGAAGTTCAATATTACGGGAAAGATATCCGAGGGTTTTTACCAATCCAAACCTCTTCTACAGCTGGGTAAGGTGGGTATCCAGCCTCAACTGCCCCAGAAAAGCCGCCCTCGAGAAGAAACAGTCGACACCAGGCGAGGGGACGACGTCTCTAGATCCAATATTGCGGCACAGGATCTCCTCCTCAACGGCACATGATCCCGTCCTCGCAATCTAAGCATGCCAGCGGAAAGCAACATTTGCCACGCGTCTTCAATACCTCTTTCTTCAGCCGGAGCTCAAAGTCGCAGCCAACCCAGTCAGACATCTTGGGCCACAAGCTGACAAACTCACTGCTACTTGCTGAAGATCACCAGGACCCGTTTTCGACTTCAAGACCGAGGCTAACCCGGCTGTGCTCTCCTGTCTCGGTTCTAGAAAGCTGGAGTTGAAGCCGTAGCTTGAGAATGTCTGTCGACTCGGGCCCTCGATACTTTGAGCAGGTAGTGAATTACCACAATACCCAGAATAAACACTCCTTTATATGTCAAACAGATGGATAAACAATGCAATCGAAAGCCCATAGGAACCCCTAGATCAAATGAAAATCACCGTAGAACAACTCAAAGCATACAACACAGCTAGCCTAAAAGTGTGTTGATGACAAAGAGTGCTTGCACACCGCCTAAAAGGTCCAACAAGGGTCCTGCCAGAAAGACACCAGGATGTGTATCTAAACTTTACACATAGGTATTACAATACAATAGCTGCAGTAAGAAAGTCGCAAGCAAAAAAGAAATACATAAAAAAAAAGAAAAAAGAAAGGCCGTAGAGGCAAAAACTCACCGGCCAGCTCCGTAGAGGTGGCCGTTTACGAAAACCTCGGTGGTTTTACTTCGGCTCGAACTCGGGGGCTATCGGTTGCAAGCCCCCGGCGGGGGGGGGGTAACAGCAGCTCTTCCACCTTGACCATTTGTCCTGACCACAAGTGTGGCGCCCTGACCAAGATCTTCGAGCTGCTGTTGGAAGGTGGGTTGTGGACCTAACATATAAACCACTGGGTGCTCCTTCTATTCGGAGTGTTGTCGTGAGCTGCTCCTTCCTTGTGAGGCCTCGGCTTGGGAATGAGGCAGGTGCTTGGGTCAC